AAAAAAAAAAGGGAAATTTAGTAATGCCCCAACTTTGAGCTCAAAGGGTATAAACAACACTGCCCCTCTTTCCTTCTCTTCTTTATCAAGAAATAAAACTACACTGAGCAGTAGAAAGGTAGGAAGCAGTGATGTCAGATTTCAGTTAAGGGATTCTTGGCTTGAAGGGGAGTCTTGTCAAGAACATTTGGGCTAGGGGACTTTGGAGCTTGTCTGGATGAGTGAACATGAGGGTCCTTTGCACTGAAACTGTTTTGAAAGAGACTTTAGAACTATGAACTATTAGCATCCTCAAGGTTTGGGGGGCTGCCTTTGTGCTTTCGTGCTGTTTATATTCCTTGGGCTCTGTCTGCCCCAAAATGCTGAGGTCAATCTTCTGTTTGAGATATACCAATATCTGGGATATTTAGGTAAGAAGGAGGAAAGAAGCTCAGGAGGTCTTTCCGATTCTCTCTTTGAATTTCCAATCCAGATCACTTGGATGGAATAGGAGAAGGGTTGGGGGCAGAGCAAACACACAAGGTCTTGACTCAGAGAGAGGATGTTCTATCCATGAGTAAGATAGGACTAGACCAGCCCCTGTGGTGTGCCTCTCTGGAACTTGAGCATGAAAGATAATATACAGGAGTGAGATTAGAGATGTCAGCCAGAAGCCCAAGTGGGAGCAGCTCTTGGGATCCACCATCAGGAAAACATTTTGCTGATGAAATGGAAAATAAGTTAATGAAACTTTATGGTCTGCACACTTTGCTCCATTAACTTAGTATATACATACTCATTTTTTTTCCAGGGAAAAATTTTTTTCCTTGGATTTAGCAGTTTTTCATTCTAATCTTACTATGCTGGACTAAAGGAAAAGCTCCCTTTACTGCATTCTGGGAATAATCTCTCAACCAGTGTTTATGCCCTGGACAATGTGTCTTTTCCATTCCCTCCTCAGTGATGCAGCAAAACTATTCTTGAGACCAAACCAGAGCCTATCAGGTGGGACTGTGGAATGGAGGTACATCACCTCCTCTCTATTAGCAGAAGATCAGATATTAATTTTTAGTAAACAAGAAAGGAGAACACAAATCATTAGCTCTTGATTTTGATGAGAACCTTCCTTTGAGGAATGATCCCAATATTTGGAAAAACTAGATAATCTTTCCCTGTTGTAGTGGTTTGCAATGGATATGGGGAAGAAGTTGTATTAGAATCATCCAAGGAATTAATTTTCAGGAAATGCATGCCTATCACTACCCACATTTGATTCTGAAATATCCTAGTAAGAAGGCAAGCTTGTGTGTTTGTCAAAAGTTTCCCAAAGGGCTTTAACATGCTCCTGACTGATGCTCGCTTTCCTACACATAGCAGAATTATCTGTACAAACCATTCCACCTATAAAAATATTAAAGGAGAGAAAAAATACAGCTCCCTAGTCAGTAATTCCCATCACCTTTGGATTCCACGTTTGCGTTCCAACATGGACTGGGCAGAGGGAGGTGGGCAGTGTCCCCAGAAATCAGGAAATGCCATCATCTCGAAGTCCACCACAGATTTGGTTCTTCTGGCTTTGGACATATAGAGATAGGGATCATGGAAAGGGATGTGCTTGGGATGTGTCTGCAGAAGCTTATCTATTACTTCGACAGTTTCTCTTGGCCCAGTGGAACTGGAGAAGGAGGGATTCATCCTCGGGCAGGAAATCACATCTATATCCCAAGCATCCTCTTTCAGGGAAGCCTGAATGTCACAAAGTTTTTTTTCAAAAGAATCTATCCCAAGACCGTTGGACTGTACATTTTGGTATGAGTTCATTACAGGCCTTTTTTTGGAGGCTAGATGTGCCATGGACCTCCCCATCTTCACCATGCTCAGAAGGGAAGTCTGGACTGTGTCTTCTCTTTCTTGGCCCCAGGAGCTTCGGTCCTTATTCAAGCAATGCTGCTCTGATGAGGCAGCAGTTGGAATGTGGTGATGATTGACATATTGAGTCAAGTTCAAATCATCTCCAAATTTGGACTCCAGTTCCTTCAGGTTTAAAGTGGAAAAGAATATGTCAGTGTTTCCTTCCAGGTAGAGAATACAATTTGATCCCTGTCCTTACTCTCTGGGCACAGAGCTGAGCATAAATCCTATGAATTGGGAAGCTTTCCCAAGGTCAACCAAGGAAGTCTAACCTTCAAGAGTCAAATAAATGACAGAATCATAGAAACAAATTTGGAAGGAAATTTTGGTGGGTCTAGTACAATTGTATACAGTACATGAATGTCTTCTGCAGCACCCCCACTAAGTTACAGTCAGGTTGAACAACCTGATTTTAGGGGAACTTATTGCAACTCAAGGTGATGCCTTTCACTGCACCCCAAAGCAGTGCCTTTCATTTAAAGACAATTCTGATTACTTAAGAAACTTCTTCCTTACACTGAGCTGAAAGTTCCTTCCCTAAAACTTGTACCACTGATTTTCTGCTTTCTGGAGTGAAATAGAATAGATTAACTCCCTTCTCTACATGTGACTTCGCTTGTACCCTTAGATGTAGCCAAATTCATGATTTATTAAGAGCCATAGAAAATAACTGAACTCAAAAAGCAAGTCTAAAATATTGATAGCAGCAACTAGGTATTGGACTAACATCACAGGTCTAAGATTCCCAATTTGTTTCTACTGACCAAGAAAGCCTGGAATCAGGATGGCCACCTTTAGAAAGCCATCTAGGACAATTTTCCCACTTAGGCACAGAACAGTTAAATCATTATAAGTTTTCATGTGCTTTTTTCAGTGCCTGGGAGAAGGGCATATAGGTAGTGATGTGTGCCTTTGTTCTATTTCTATCCTAGGGGGAGGGTGTCAGATTGCAAGGCCCTTGCATGCATCCCAGCTTGGCCACCTTTTTCACATTTTTGCTTAAGCTTCTGCTTTTATCTCAGAAAGATTCCAGAAGCAGATAGCTAATGATGAGCAATGTTTTGCATCTAGACATGCCTGTTTGTCCTACCATGTTCTACAAAGAAACCATTGTGCACCACCAAGAAGCAGAAGTATGACGTATGTCCTACCTCAAAGCTGCAAGAGAGCTCAAGACACATTGCCTCATACTGCACCAGTTCCTCTTCAGGTCGGTCAGGACCAGGTTTGGAACTCAGCTTGTCCATGTCTGTTTCCAAGTCATCATCCTGCAATGGAATATTCATAGAACAGCTTACGATCAGGAAATCCACCCTGAGAAGCATCAAGACAAGATACATGTGTGCTTCTTCAGAATCTTAGGACAGAATCTTCAGAATCTTTCTTGCCTCCAAATTACAGCACTAGCCTATCCAGTGAAGAATTGAATGTGTTGGATTGTTTTTTTTTAATGAAAATAAAAAATACATACAACTTTTCTCAGCATTTATATCAATATTTATCAGTCATTATCAGAAATAAATAATAATTTATATAAAATGAAATGAACTATGTAAAAATAAAGCACGATATAAGAGAAATTGTCTCACCACCACTATCTTCAACAGGATTGTAATTATTGCTCTTATTCATCTGTCTTATTTGCCATTTAGGTTCTTCACTCTTTTCATAAACATTTAATGAGCAACTATTATGAGCAGGTACTCTTGTAGGTACTGAAGATTCAGTGATAATGGAACAAAGGTCCATGCTCCCATGGAATTTGCCTTCTAGTAAAAGATGGAAGACAGCAAATGGTAAAGCAAACAAATGAATAAGATCATTTCCAGCAGCTGTAAATGACCTGGAGATGAAGAAAGGGGGTGACAAGCCTGTGACTGAGACTGGGCCATGGGAGGCTGTTTAGATTGGGGGACCCATAAAGGCCTCACTAAGGAGGTAACACTTTAACTGAGCAAAGACTCAGGGAAAGGAATTACTAACAGAAGGAGCAGCTTAAATTTGCATACAGAAAGAAGGTGGCTGAACTATAGAAAATAAGAAGAAGATTGTAGGAGATGAGATTTAAGAAGGGATCAGGAGAGAGATTATATCAATCTTTATGGGACCTGGGGTGAAGTTTGTGTTGTCCTGCAAGAGGGGAGGGAAAGTGGCATTGATGAATGACTACAGCAGCTTTATCCCTTTGTACATTTAAAAGTTCACCAAGTCACCACCTGTCTTTTCTTCATTGGGATGGATAATCTCAAACCCTTTATTTTTTCTTCAATAGCATAACTTCATAATAGTTTAATGGCGATGGTGAGTCTCCTCTGAACATTTGTGTGTTTTCCAAAGGTAATAGAGTATTACAGAGAAAAGACACTAGGAATCAACCAGTTCAGTCTCTTCATCTTTCATATGCTAGACCATGTTTTCCTATTAAAATAGAGGATAAAAATCTACCATATGTTATAGAAGTATATTTGGTTAGTTTTTAAAAAAAAAAAATCTTGGCAGCCTGAAGGCCTAAATCAAATAAATGTGGAAAATAAATGCTTATATTCCTGATCTAGGGAAAAAAGAAAATGTGTATTCCATCTATCTTCTGTAATTATCCTCTAAATTTCAAATTAAAGAAAAGTAAAACCAATGAGTTTGATTTAATGGTATTTTCAGATACAATGCCTACCATGCCAAACTCCATAGCCTGGTACTGGAGAACCCATCACTTTTGTCCTTTGCAGCTTCATCTGTCAGTTCTTGCTTGTCTCCAGCCCCTCACTGCAGCCTCAGCCATGCCCCAGGGTGGTACCAATGGAAACACAACCTGGCAGACCATTGGGAAGAGTGTCCCCACCAGTGAGTAAGGTTGTGCTCCAACCAGTGTCCTTGGAGTGAAGAGTGTCATATAATCCATGAGCTGAAACCTAATTCATTCTATGTGTGACTGGGTGGCCCACTTAGCCTTAGAGCAAGGGTTAGCAAACTAGGGCACACTGCCTGTCTTTGCAAATAAAGTTTTATTGAAGTACACCCACATTCACTCATTTATATGTCATCAATAGCTGCTTTCTCAGTACAACAGCAAAGTTGAACAGCAGGGACAGAGACAATTTCTGGTCTTCAGAGGTCTGGAGCTTGGACTCTGAATTCGCAGGCACTTAGTTGGGTTCTCACATCTTTCTGTATTTCTTATAGATATAATCATACTTATCTAGGGATGGACCTTCTCTGTGTCCTCACAACAATCCAGACAATCCTTCACCATCTAGGATTCTGATATCTACCTAATCCAGAAAATGCTTTCTGGCACTTGCTCCTTAGATTGGACCTCTTAGATATTGACTTTTCCCTACCTCGGACTTGAGTTCACTGCCCCTTTGGTGGTGATGATTTGTACTCTAGTAGGAACAATCACTATGTTCACTAATCTGTGAACTCTCAAGATAAAAACTATGCTTCACTTGTTTTTGTGTCGTATCACCATCCCCAAGAACTTAGCATGCTGCCCTGTATACAGATCATACCCAAGAAAATACTTGAAAGAAATAAAAAATTAAAAAGGAGGGAATAGAAGGAGGAAAGGAAGGGAGGAAGGGAGGAAGGGAGAAAGGAAGGAAGGTCTTAAATTCACTCTGTCCATCCCCCTGTTCGGATCATACCCAAGAAAATACCTGAAAGAAATAAAAAATTAAAAAGGAGGGAATAGAAGGAGGAAAGGAAGGGAGGAAGGGAGAAAGGAAGGAAGGTCTTAAATTCACTCTGTCCATCCCCCTGTTCTTCAGAGTTTGTCCAAATCTAGTGTTCGTCTGCGTGAAGAAAAAAACATGACCAACATCTAGGCTGTATTTGTTGTGAATTTCTATTCTTATGTTGACCTTGACAGTTTTCAATCAAGGCACAGCACCTGATTTTTCACTTTCCAGACCCTGTGCAGATAAAAGTTACCTTTAGTCATTCTTCCTAAGAGGCTGGTCCCAATTATTAGCTAAAATTTTCAAATGAGAAGGCCACAGGTTAAAGGTCTGGCTCAGTTCTGTGACCGGAAGTGAAATATGCCTGGCTTCTTGCCCACATCTCTGGGAACACCAAGTAAAAACCAGTTTGCTGGAGCACCAGTTCCCCTGCTTTTGTTGTACCCTGTAACCAAACCCTGATTCTAATGTTCCTCTGTTTCTTTACGAGTCATGCTCACACACTGACTTTTCATCTTCTCCTTGGCTTGAAAGCTGTTGATGAATGCTTCCAGGCCCTTGCCAATTTGTCTTGAGCTTCTTTCCCAGCTGGGTTTGTTTATTTGTTAGGTTCCACCACACCTCATGCCAGCATCCTCTGCAGAGTTAGGACTAAGGAGAGTATCTGAAAGCCCTCCCTCCCATGCTGTGTGAAGTCAAGCACTGTCATGCACCTTGTCCCTCTGCATCAGATACAAGAGGCGACTGACACTCTGCACCAGACATTCAGTTATCAAACAGCAGGCAAGAGGGGAGGGAAAGTGGCATTGACGAATGACTGCAGCAGCACAGCATTATTCAAATAATTCAACACGTACTCCATAAGCCTCCACCACCAAGCCATGGCAGAGAACCAATTTGCTACCGATGACTTCAAAAATGATTCTATTTATCAACGAAACTCTGAGAACACTAGACTGTCAATAGCAGTCTAAACCTAGAGGTGTAGCTAAGTGGTAGTTCCTATATGTCTGCTACTACCATCAACAAGGTGAGTGATTATCATAATATGGAACTCAAAAGTCTCCTCCTATATAGGAGAGGAAAAAGAAGGAAGGAAGCCTTTTTCAAATTCTTGGTTTTATCCCCAGGAATGTCACAAAAAGTAGCATTTATTTCTGAGACTTTTTACAGATGACAAAATTAAGGAGCCATAATTTGAATGAATTTATCCGAATCCATGTCCACCAACAGAAATGAAAACAGAATTATAATTCATAGATAAATTATTATTCTAGAGCAGTGGTCCTCAACTAGGAGTGATTTTGGCAATTCCTAGAGACATTTTTAGTTCATAACTTGGGTGCAAAGGGTGAGTGCTACTGGTATCTAGTGGGTAGAGGTCAGGGATGCTGCTAAATACATTACGATGCACAGGACAGTCACTCACAGCTAAGAAGTATCCAGTCAAAGTGCCAATACTGTCAAAGTTTAGAAACCCTGTTGTAGAAAAACAATCAGTAAACTGGGTCTCACTTCCTGTTTTCTTAAATAAAGTTTTATTGGAACTCAGCCATGCCCATCAATTTATATATTGTCTATGACTGTTTTTGTGCCACAAAAGCAAAGCTGAGTAGTTGTGATGATGACAATGACTGTATGGACCACAAAACCTAAAATGATTACTACCTGATGACCTCTGCTCCATAGCATAGGCCATTATGGGATAGGGATCAAGAAGCAACACTTCCCTGCTAGTCAGGCTGTGCACCATGCAAATTTAGGGAGAACAATTGACACAGACTCTGATGTAAATGGAAATGTGCACTGCAGCAGCCCTATGCAGAGTGGGCAGACAAGAAGAGTGATTTATGAGGATACGTGAGATCTACTAGAAAGTTTCCTGGAAAATCTTGCCATAGTCTCACGCACACTTATTAAATATACCAACTCTAAGCATTAAGTGTCTACCTAAGGCTCATCCTGATGGAGTAATAGTGTCTTGATAATGGATAGCCCCTGACTTTACAAGGAGACATTGTACTAGACTACCAAGATAAAAACAACAACCTGGAAATTAATAACAGTAGCTGTCATTTATTAAGCATCACAGTCACTGGAGTGGTGGTACTAAAGCAAGTCCCTAAAATTTACACTGGTCTTGGGCAAACATGGGAAGCGATCTTTTCGTTTGTATGATGTGAATATGGAGGTAATTAGAAACAAGGGCTGGTTGTACCCACCTCCTCTTTCACATCTTCAGAATCTGAATCTTTGTCCACCTTTTCATCACCATCATCTTCAAAATCCTCTGGGTGGGGAAAAAAAGCAGGTGAAATGAGTGAGGGTTCCCCCTTTCCCTGGGATTCAGACTTCCACCACACAGCAGTCAGTACTTCTTTCTCTCGTAAGGGCCCATTACTAAGTGCACAATATCTCATCACGTTCTAATGCTTACTGCTGCATGTCAATGGTGTGCACATGGACACATGGGAGCGCTGTATCATGAAGTCGAAATTGATGTCTCACATTAAGTGCAAAATAAGTGCAGAACAAAATGGCACATGAATACCACTCAGCATGCTCCCACCCAAGTTAGAGGTATTTATGCAACAAACATTGCCAAAGTTTAGAGACTGCATACATATAAAATTTGTTATAACTTAGATAACACCTTGATTGAGTTTATAATTTTTAAATGAACGAACTTATTTAAAACTAAAGTCCATAGAAAGCACTCAGTGCCATTTTCACGAAATTATGCCTACGGAAAATCTGTTCCATGGTAGGAAGATGGGGTTGAAAAGCACTAGAATCTTTTGACAGTAAGATCTTCCTGGAGATTAAATAATCATACTTTCCAACATTCCAATATGACTAGCATGGGATTGTAAATAGCAAGTGTTTTACTTCAATTTCATCCTTAGGGAAAATTAATTTCACAACCAGTCAGTACAGTGGAGAGACTCGATCATGGGACTGTGAATAGATTTTTTTTTAATTAGCTGAGATGATTGTACAGGCATTTGATAGCTACCAGGCAAAGCAGCAACAGCTAATAACTAAGGAAAAAATAAGTGAGCTTGGTATTTGTTCAGGCTGCTTATGAAAAAAACTGCCCTTTCATACATATCTCTAATTACCTTATGAGATAATCATGGTTGACCCATAAAACGACAGGTTCTACTTTCACCCATGTTCCTTGGACTTATTTCCAAAATGCAAAAATTCATCTTAAAGCTCATAGTTACCCACTTATTTACCTTCAGTTAGAACATGTGGAGGCTCAGAGGTGATGCTCCCAGGGACCGGGAAGGCATAAGCACTGCTGGCTGTGGCCAGGGGAAGTGGACTCTTAGGGTAGCATTGCCTCAGGATCTGAAGCACGGCAGAGGTGATGGGCTCCATGCTCTTGTCATCCAGGCAGCTCTGAGCAAAGGCAAGATGGTATCAGACACTGATGTTTAGGTACAGTTCCCTTGCTGTAACAGTATTTCAATTAATGAATTGCACATAACCTAGATGGACAGTGAACGGTCAAATTTGAACTTTCTAATGTACAACCTGCATTTTTACTTCTCCTTCGTAGCTCATATGTTATTGGAATTAATTTAATCTGAAAATAGACTTAAACTTCTTTCAAGGATACTCAAGATGTTGTCCAGGATAGCTGGGGGAAGAAGATGTGAGCATCTCCCTTCAGCCATCCACTTGTCATTGTGAATTGTGGCCTAAGTTAAGGAATGAGTAGCTGAAGTAATGGAAGTCTTGCTGCTCTCTTTCAACTATTATCTGCAGAGAAAATGTAAAGGAGAAAGGTAACATGAAATCAGAAGAAAAGACTACGTGACTCTCAAGTACCTAAGTTAAATAACATGCCTCTTCTCAAAGCCTACATACAGTGTTGATCCCTCTTGGCATCTGCCTAAAGCAAAGAAAAATTGGATTTGCAGATGTAACATTTTGATACAGATGGAACATGACAAGACCCCTCTTTGAAAACACTGTGAAAAATATAAGAACAAGCTTGCTAAATTGAGAGAGAGTTGGGTATAGGTTGATACCTCTTTGGCAAAAACAACCATTTTCTTCAGTTTTTTAGTAAATGTTTTGCCTACGAACTTGGTGCAGAAAGTAGCCTGATGTGAGCTCCAATGTGCTATTCCTAAAGGGTGCAGCAAGCTCTGAGCCCAATAAGCCATAGCAGTAGATGTGGTGGATGCTGGGTCCCCACCACAGGGCAGCGTGAATGTCTATGATGCTGCCACACTACGTACCTCCAGGCACACATTCTAGGTAGCTCCACAGGAAAGAAGATGGACAAGAAAGATTTTAATAAAAATTTAGCCATGAATTCAAGCTACTCACATGACTTCAAAATACAAGTAAGCCAACTTTCAAAACAGAAATGTCTTAATACAATCAAAAATGCTATCTCCCAGTGTGCTCAAGTGGTACCAACCAGGTGTCCTGAACCAACAGCCTCAGTACACACAGTAGGAAACACTCAGTGGAGAATGAATTAGTTCAAACTATTTCATCCCTTGCCCTGTTCAAATGGCCTTGTGTTTAGTGAAAAGTTGTTAGTACTGGAAAAAGAGAAAACTGAGTGTAGAGGAGGAAAAGAGACAGTGAAGTATATGGCCGACCAGAGGAAATGTTTTGAGCTCCAACCTTGGCAGAAATAGAGCCAAGTCCAAGCCAGAAAACTCAGTCAAAAATGCCAAAAAATCATTTTGGAACCCAGGTATGTCTGAGATTGTCTTTGATGGTGATAAAGAGGGTAATATTTTTTACTTTGCTGGGATGGTTCAGGGGGAAAGGGAGTGAAAGGATGAAGACAAGCCCAAGTGTCCTGAGAGGTTGGACGACACCATGAACTGCATTTGGGGGATGAACGGGGGTATTAAGATCTACAGAAACCAAGGCATTAGGGATAATGCTACAATAAGTGTCTGCTACACTCTGGGGGAAATACTTATGAATTTAAAAATGATCCTTGGTTCCAAGGTAACAGAAATCTCTAGATCCATTTGTCAACATGTCCCTAGTGCTAATGGATAGGTGCTGCATAGGGCTTGGACTGAGGTGAGGTAAATGAGGTGCCCGGGAAGCACAATGTAAAGCATCCCACACTCTCGGGCTCCTACATGTGCAGGGTTGGCACCTGTGCTGTATATCATAAGATGGCAAGACTCCAAGAGATAGGATCTCTGCAGACAAATGTCTCAGCACTGGGGACAGAGGTGAGATTTTTAGGCTCCCTTTTCCCATCACTCCCAATGATACACCTGCCATTTGGAAGGAATGATGAAATATGAAATATGATAAAACATTCAGTGCTTTGTCACAGTGAACATTGTTGAGTTAGCTTTGAGATAGTAAATATCCTGCTTCCATGATACATAGGCAAAATAAAGTAACAGCAAATAGCTCAGATTCTGGAGCCAGACTACGTGAATTCACATCCTGGGCTGATGATTACTAACCGCGTAACCCTGGCAACTAGAGACACCTCTCTGTGCCACAGTTTCCCCGTCTGTAAAGCGGCAATAGTAACAGGACCTGTCTCACAAGGTTGTGTGTGAATTAAACGAGTTAAAGTAGGCAGAACACCCAATAATAAGGACCTGGGATGCGCTAGCTAGTGGGATCTCAGGAGGCATCGTAAAGTTCATAAAATCTAGTAAGAATCTGCAAGTGGATCCTAGGAGTCCACTGCTTCTCAGGGCAGAGTCCTAGAAATAATCCTCATAATAACAAAGTGAGACATTTTAGTGGATAAGGATTCTTACTAAGAGTCAGAAGTCCCGGGCTTAAGATCTAGTTCTACTTCTAATTAGTCAAAGCCATCCGCGTCCCCCGCCTGAGCTCCCACGCAGAGTCCTAGAAATAATCCTCATAATAACAAAGTGAGACATTTTAGTGGATAAGGATTCTTACTAAGAGTCAGAAGTCCCGGGTTTAAGATCTAGTTCTACTTCTAATTAGTCAAAGCCATCCGCGTCCCCCGCCTGAGCTCCCACAAACAGTCTAACTCCTCCTCCTATCCTCCTAACGCTCCCTCCTCCCCATTGTGTGCTCTGATAATCTCCTCTCCAGTGGCAGCCAGAATGGTCCCTTAAAAGCATAAATCAGTTTAATGGGCATAGAGTTTCAGTTTTTCAAGATGAAAAGAGTTCTGGAGATGGATGGTGGTGATGGTTGTACGGCAGTGTACTTAACACTACTGGACTGCACACGTACAAAGAGTTAAGATGGTGACTGTTACATTATATGCATTTTACTACAATTAATTTCAAAATTTTAAGTGAAAAAATATAAAGCATAAATCGTGACGCAGGTCACTTCCCTGCATCAAATCCGATAGAAATACAATCTGAATTCCTTTTCACGGCCTAGAAGCTCTATGTGATCTGCACCCCCACGCCCATCTCTCTATCTCATGCTTTCCTTCCCCCTTCATTGTACCTGCTTAAAATCTGGTGGAAATAAAACCAAATTTCTTATCATGGTTCAGGAAGCTCCAAATGCTCCATCCCTGCCTGTGTCTCAAATTCAACTCACACCTTCCTCCCATGGCTCACCATGTCTCTGCCATGCCGGCTTCTCTGTTCCTTAAGCGGGCCCCGCCTCCCACCCTACCCCCTTACCTGAGGGCCTTTGCCATTCTCCTACTCTGCCTTCCACTATAGTTTCCTGAGGAAGATGGGCTTTTCATCACCTTGATCTTTGAACCCCCTACATAACCTAGCCCCAATACCTTTAACAAAGCAAGAGCTCAGAAACCTTCACTGAACAAATAGTAAGTGATCTCAGGCCCATCTGGCCTCCAGGGTATCTAGCTCCTGATTCCAAGTTGGTAACATTCCCTTTAGGATTCATTTCTTCCTTCTACAGACCTGCAATGCTGCAGTAACTGGCCCTGTTGCACAGAGAAGGTCCTGATATATCAAGGGTCGGCCTGCCACTCTTTCTGAGCAAATAATGGGAGCTGTGACTTTTAAAAGGCTGTATCACTGCTTGTTCTAGTGGTTCTCAAAGTGAGGCACCCAGACCAGCAGCATCAGCATTACCTGAAAATTTGCTAGAAATGCAGAATCTAGTGTCTTACCTCAGACTTCAGACTGACTGAATTAGAAACTCTGGGGGTGGGGTCTAGCAATCTGTGCTTTAACAAGCTCTCCAGGTGATTCTGACGTATGCTCAAGTTTGAAAACCACAAATTTTAGCAACTGTTTAGGTCTCTTAAGCTATTGTAGTTCCAAGAGCGGTCCCTTTATCTGATTATTTCACACAGGTTTGTTCCTTCTGTGATTATCTATTTCTCCAAATTGAGAACTATCTCATACTGTTTCAGGGCATCCTTGTAAAGGTTCTTCTTTTTTAAGAACCTTAAATTCAAATTGTCATCCTTCCTTCTTCCTCATGCAAAGCTCCAACAAGATTCCATTATATCACATTGCTTCCTTGCTGCCTTATGGACAGTCTCTGCCTTTGAATGTTTAGATGTTTAGAGAATCTTTGCAAGGATGGGTGACCCAGGAAACAAAGAGGTGTGGTCACCAAGAGAGAGACACTGAAAGCAGTAACCCCAGCAGAAAGGCAGAGAACAGTACGATGGAAAGGCTGTGGGGAGGACTCAAAAATAGCTTTCTCAATCAGTCTCATGCCCAACAGGTTTGTAATGACATCATAAACAGTAAAAACAGTATAGGACAGTGGTTTTCAAAGAGTGATCCCCCGACCAGCAGTGTCTGCACCACTTAGGAACTTGTCAGAAATACAAATGTTCAGACTCCAGCCAGACCTGCCAGATCAGAAACTCTGAGGATGGGGTTCAGCAAGCTTTGCTTTAATGAGCCCTCCAGGTGACTCTGGTGTGAGCTCAACTCGGCACTGCCGGAGCAGTGAGCGAAAGCAGGGACTCTCAGGGGAGACTACCAGATTCAGATCCTGGCTCCAACATGTAACAGCTCTGTGTACTTGGGCAAATTACTTGACATTTGTGTGCCTCAGTTCCTTCATCTGTAAAATGAGGATAATAACAAAGGCTACATCAAAAACTTTTTAAAATGTCAAAATTGCAGAGTTTAAGTCAGCCATGAGCCATAGTAAGAGCTCAATACCAAGTAGCTGTCCTCTTCTTCTTCTGCTGCTGCTGCTACTGCTTCATTGTCATTGTCATCACCATCATTGTCATCACCATCCTCAGCAGCAGTGGTAGCAGCAGCAGCAGCAGCAGCAGCAGTAGCAGCAACGTCACCATCATCATTATCATCATCATTTGGGAATAGTGAATGAAATAACATCACCGGACCCAAGGTTCCTGAGCTGGCCATCCAGTGACCCCCATGCCTTCTCCAGCAGGATGGAAGGAGGGCTACAGAAGCTCAAGCTCCAGCACAGCTGCAAGGGCATCTGCGCTCACAGCACGCAGCCCAGGTCTGGGAGGCTACTCAACACTGCCTATGATTCTGCCAGAAGAGAATAGCAGGCCACTTGATTCTAACCCAGGATAGCACATCTACCATCTGAAAGGATCATTTTCCAAAAACAGGAGAATGTCAAATGTCAGACTTTGCACATAAACTTGATAACATCTCCTCTAGGAGAACACACTATTTAAAAGACTGGAAGCTAAAGGGGGAGTGGTGGGAATGGAAAATCCAGCCCCCTGAACTTTTCGTGCATACATTCTACACATGCTTCCAGGTGACAGCCTTAGTGTGTCATGGCCTATGTATCAGCACAGTCTCACAGACCCTGCCTGAGCTACATTTTCATATAATACCAATAGATATTATAATATGGGCTGGAGAAATCTCACTACCATGTACAGATTCTGCCTCCACTCTCATCCTACTTCCATGCTCAACAGCAATTGGAGGCTGGAAGCTTGTCGTAAATTTGCTTAATTAAACAAGTGAGGTCTTCATTGGTCTGCTGAAGAACAGCTTCTAAGACCCCGTGTACAGGCTCATAGCCCCTCGGATGCCTGGGCTTCCACTTTGTATTTTCTCCACTGTCTTCCTATCTTAGATGTGTACACTGAGATCACCACTTTCTTCCTTTATTGTCCTTCTAATTGTTAAAGTTAGCAGTCTTAACCACCACACCATGCTGCACCTCTGATAGTGTGTATGCAATAAATATATAATGAATAAATGAGTGAATCATTGCATGAGTGAGTGAATGGGATTTGAACTCAGAACAGCTGCCCGTTGTGGACAGCAAGAAATGTATTGAGGTTTTCCCAGCTCTGTTCAGGATGATTCCTACATGACAGACTTTAGGAATCATCCAGGTGACATCCAGCTGCACAGGGAATCTGGTGCTGACTACCTGCATGGTGCTGAAGAGGATCTCCATGCCCTGGGCTGCAAGGAAGGCCTCCCTGCCAGACCGGAGGCTCGTGATGTGCTGGAGGCAGAGCAGCAGCCCCTGACGGATCAGCACGTAGGCATTAGCTGTATCGTGGCTCTGCCAGTCCTGGTGCAGCCTGAGCAAGATGGTGATGTAGCCTCTGTTCACCGCCCTGCGTCTGTTGGACTCTGAAAACATGGAAAAGGCCATGTCAATCGCAGGTTCTCCAGGGCCACACCTGGCTGAGAATGTCCCAGTGTATCTCCCACAAGATATTTATTAATCATAAAGGGAATGATAATAACTTTTCGGCATAGAAAACTGTCAGATGTCACCTTAACCAAGTGATCAAAGTCAACATCACTAGTAACAGGACAAATTGTCATCATGTGCCCCTGATATGAGGCACTGAGAAAGACACAGCATCACTTCTGTGATATTCCTGCCAAAAACCCATAACCCAAATTTAATTATGAGGACAATCAGCAAATCCAGAACAGAATGAGGGACATGCTACAAAATATCTGACCTATACTCTTCAAAAGGTTCAAGGTCATGAAAAGCAAAAAATAAAATAAAGTAAAATAAAATAAAAAGACTGAGGAACTGAGGCTAAAAGAAACCAAAAGGACATGACAGCTAAGAACAATATATAATTACATTTAGATCCCGGGCCAGAAAACAAATTTTTCTTTTGCTATAAAAAGCATTAGTGGCGCAATTAGTAAATTTTAAATAAGGTCTGTAGATTAGCTAATAGTAGTATATCAATGTTTATTTTCAGATTTTGATAAACACCTGTGGTTTTGTAACAGAATATCCCTCTTTTTGGGAAACTCACAATTGGAGTGTGTGAAAGTCTGTAACTTACTCTAAGAAAAAAATAGTAATAGGGTGCATGTGGGAGACAGAGAGAGAGAAATTGCCATCAGATTTCCATTCTTCTTTCCTGAATATCAGCGAAACTAGGATATTGTCATTTGGGTTGAGCAATCTACAAAGTTGGGTGAAGAGAAGACTCTGAGTGAGACGTAATATCTCAAAGGCTGCCATGTGGAAGAGCTGCATTGGGTATTTTTCCTAAAAAGAGTGGGAACTAGTTTGATGAATAATCAAGGAGTTATAATACACCTTGACTTAATATAGTTATTGCCTTGGTATCCACTTTTAGGCCTGACTTAAGTTGCTTGAAACCCATCACCTTCGTACCCAACACCTTTGACCTAGTGAAACCTTCCTCTCGCCATGTGGTTGTTGGAGATATGGCCTCCCAACACATGCCACAGCTGCCAACCATGATAAAACCTAACAGCCAACATCAGAGTCATGTAAATAAGTGTCCCTCTTTATGCATGTTTTCTTTAAACTAGCCAATCTGCAACATCCAGGGATCATACCACGTCCCTCGCTGCTACCTCCAGACCTCTCATGGACCCCTGTGGGCAACCCCTTCTCTCGTGGCTCTGTGAGTAATAAAACACTTCTGTTACCTCCTGTGTCTTCTCATGCCACCTCCTCTGTGTCTCACCTGACCCACACACCCCACCCTAACTTTCCCCCTGGTCAGGGCTCTCCTAAAGAGTGTCCATCTTGTCTTACAGCCACTCTCAAAAGAGAGCACTCAAGAGTAAGTGAGATAAAAGTCATAACACAAGAATTTGGCTCAGTCTGGGAAAGGAATTCCTCCTAGTCAAGGCTATTCAACAAGAGGATGGGCTCCATGTGGTAGTAAACAACCAGGCATGGCAAACGTTCCGGTTGGAAGTCCACCCAGCAGGGATGTCATATGGGGCTCCCTTATGTCTGACAGAGAGTTGTAATAGAGTGCTTTTAGGGTTCCCTTCCACTCTTTATCACTGTGATTTCTCTGTTTTAGTTGCAGATTCCTAGCTGAGACCTCCCATGAGACTCTATATTAAGAATCTAATTGTCTAAGATACGGTTTAAATTCTCTTTGAAGAAACACAGGAAGAAATATAATCTAAGAATCCTCTCTCAACAGTTAATATATGCTAATTTTCAGATTGAACTCCCTGGGCTACAGGGTCAATGGACAAATGTGTACCAGACCCACCCAGTAGATGGCTGGTTATCTCAGCTCCTACAGACTACATGCATTGCAGGGCTCCGGCTGGCTGACTAGCAACAACAAATGCCCAAATTTTGCAGTTCTCTCTCACTATTACTTTTCTCCAATTTCCAAATCATTCACACTGGTTTATGATACAATATGTGCTCCTGCCCGAGTGTGTGGGAGGGAAATCCCCTGAGCTGTAATCACATAAGCAAAATTTCTACTCAAGTCAGATTTTTCCCTAAGACCATGTAAGTGCACATGAATGCAAAAAAATAACATGGAAATTCAGTGCTATATTCCAGAGGGTTTTTTTCATAACATTAATGAAACTCTTTCCCCGCCCCCGCTTGTTTATCAAATTCTAAATTGTCAGGCTTGACTAAGCCCCACTGAGATTTTTGATCCATTTGTGCAGTTGATTTTACTTTCTTCTCTTTTTACATTTCATTCAGCCATGACCCTGAACTAAGAATGATGAGCTTTATTCACCTGGAGACGTGTTTGTGGAAGGTTTAAATCGCCTTCATTACCTCTTTTAATGAATTATGCTTTTCTACATTTCATTCAGCCATGACCCTGAACTAAGAATGATGAGCTTTATTCACCCGGAGACGTGTTTGTGGAAGGTTTAAATCGCCTTCATTACCTCTTTTAATGAATTATGCTTTTGTACCAAAAATATTTCTCTCCTTGGTTGGTCCCAGCCACTGTACCAAAAATATTTCTCTCCTTGGTTGGTCCCAGCCACAAAGCACGAGAGTTCTTTACTGCTTAAATGAGGTTTCAGCCTATCCAATATCTGATGTTTAAAAGAAAATTGAGGATTAAGTAGAAGGTATTAAAGGAAAGTATTGCCTGCTAAAAAGATGCCAGAATGGAAAACACAGTTCACAGAGGCCCCGTGGGCAGTGCAAAGTTAAGGATTTTGTCTTCTATCTATTTTAAGGGTATGAGACTGATAATATGTTATCCTGATGACCTTCATCCACTACTCTTTTGGCGGGGGAGGGAGGTAATGGGAAAAAAATCTTTAATTGTCTGAGGCAAAAATCCCTTATCAAATCCCAATGATTTTATTCATGATTTCCTGTTAAGCCCCAACAAGCAGTCATGTTTACTAACATCTAAAATAGCTAAACCTCCTTCCCCCGACCCTACATTGGTCAATCTTTCTCTGAGAACGGCTTGGGAAGTTTTGCAAAAGTCGATATGTATCTAAAACCCAACAGAAAGAGATTCATCAAACTGAGGAAGAGCAATGTGGAGAAGAGCCAAAAAATGAAGTGAGGGTCACCAAGATCAGCAGCTGAGAGGCATTCTAGAAGACCCCAGAGGAAAACACTGCTTCTCAGAGCCAGGGCAAATATAAAGCAGAAAATGCGGGTTTTCAATACTGCTCTGGCTGAGCTTGGAGTCTGGGGGTGGGAGGGGACGCCAAGTCCCCAGACCCTCTTCGGAACAAGCCAGCTCCTCTTTAGTCTATTTACATAAATGGTTTCCTTCTAAGATTTTCTTGTGCAAAAAAAAAAAAAAAAATTCCTGTTTCTTTCTTTATTTATTTTTTTAAATTTCCTAAGTAGATTGGTGTCTTTTAAACTCGTAGGAGGATGGGGATGGGATGCACAAAGAGGACTTCTGAGGGTCTTTCATTTTAAAACCCCACCCCCAACCGCAAAGCCACCTTAAAGGCATTCTCCCGGCTTCCTTGGTGACCCCTCCTACATCAGCCCCTCCCTGTCAACCTCCTGCAGAGGTCTTTTTTGGTCAGCTTTCCTTTGGCAAATCCATGGGCAACAGGGAATTTATTTTTGTCCTCACCTCCAAGTTACTCTCTCATATTCTCCTGTTTCTACTGATCTCTTCAGGTTATATCCTCCCAGGGTCTCACTTGTGACTAATTCTCAGTCTGAAATGTGATCTAATAACGTCCTTATCCTTACCCCACGCATTTCTTTTTTTTTTTTTTTTTTTTTTTTTTTTTTTTTTTTTC